CCCTTCTGAGAGCCTTAACATGGAAAATAAATTCCTGTTATTATTCCCAGCTTAGATGTCACTTCCTCTGAGAAACATTCACCACTATCCTTTGCTCTTTGTTCCCGCTCACAAAATGCCCAACGCACTCCAGCTTTTCCTTCTGAGCGCCCTTAGGTTTCCATACATCTGTTATGAACTTAATATATCGATTTGTCTGTATAGTCTCCTCACCCACCATCCCAGACTGAGTTTCTCAAAGGATGAATGTTGTTTTTAACTATCAGAACTGGCCTGTGCCTGGTATCTAGTGTGATTTAATGAAGTGTCACTTAAATGATTATGGTTTAAAATTTACCCATCTCATGATTATTAGTAAATTTATATTTAATTATTTAATAGGCTATAATTTATGCTTTCTGCATATACTGATTTTTATCTCCTTTAAAAAGCAATTAATTAATTTCAGGTATTCAATTTTACCAATACATGAAAAGCATATGAGAACAGCTATGTGTATTTTAGGACAACATGATTGATTAATTGAGATTTCTTTTAGAATTAATTATGCCATGTTAAATGGTCTACAGTACCACAAATGATATTAAATGAAGATTTTATTTGCATTTATGTTGACTTCTATTTTATTTGGATGGTAATTTTATAGAGAACACGATTTAGTGCGGGTTTCTATATGATGGTTTTTTTCCTCCTATAAGTTACCATAAATAACCCACTAGAAAGAGATTGCACAATTGTCCTGGACATCAAAAAAAAAAATATCTATCACTGAATTTAAAATAACAGCAACCACAAACAACCTAACCTCCATGGCTTCTCTTTTACCTCCATACTACCTTTCTCATGAATATCATACCCATTACTCATAAATACAAGATTTACTGGATGCAGAGCATACCATTGCATTGAGACAGGACATGATTATGATGCCGAAAAGTTTGTTGTTGTTATATTAATTAATCCAGAATCCATAATTTGCCAACCATGACTCCTCTTTCATAGTTCTGCCTGGATGAAAGTGTTCATGAGTTGAAAGACGTGTATGCACTGGTTTTTCTCAGCCTCTTAATTCATCCTTTGAAATAACAAAAGCCCCTTGCATCTTTATCTGTTTATGTGCTTCAGTCAAGGTTTTCAAAGTACTTTCCAACCACAAAGCCATCCCTGCCTTTGTTCCCAACTTCAGGTGTGGATGGAATCAATTTTTTCAGGAAGGAAAAGAAAAACAAAACACCAAAGCTGTTTAAAGTCTTTCAGGTGCCCCAGAAAGCAAATTTAGAAATTAAAACAAAACAAAACAGGAGTAACACTCTCCCTTGGGTTATTAATTTTAGGAGTATGGCTGTATTTAACAGTCGTGAAACAAAAGTCTGATGCGGAGAGACAGCCCGAAATTAAAAGGGCAGAAATGAATTTCACAGTGAAGCTAAGAGGCATTTTTCAAGCAAGTGTATGAGAACTTCTTGTTGTGTGATTAAAGGATAATCTTTCTAGGGCCTTTATTTCTCTTATGTTAGATTTTACTGCTTTGACTTTGAGTTCTCTTTCTACAACGGAGGAACTGGTGTTTGCTTAATTTCCTCTAGGGGTGGGCAGAAACTAGGCAACTGAAAAGAGTTCAAGTGGCCTGAGAAAAATTCCATGTCATCTGTTCATATTTTATCACTGTTTATGTTGAAGCAAAAAATAAATTTTTTCTGAGTTACACTGAAAAATTTCCCAAGAAAGGTTTTTCTATAGAGAATGCTTTTTCTTTGCAGTCTGTCTTCTTTTCCACCTAAAATACAGACTCAACTAATATAGAAACATAAAAATATAGAAGTACGGCAAATTTAATGTAATTTTACAATGACGCTATAGACAGGCTTGATGGGAAAAGTGAATGAGTGTGAATTAGTGAAAAAAATTAATTACACTTTAATGTTCTATCATGTTAAAGAACAGAATACTTCCCTTATCCCATTTTAAAACAAGATTAAAACACACACACACACAACCCTGCTCCTGTTGATGCTTATGGGTCTTGTGTCTTCATGGAGTCCTAAAACACCCTACCACAAGCCCTGTTTTGCTTCTGGCAGGTATTTATTTTATGTCTAAACTTTATTTTATTAAATTATGAATCTAGTACCACACAGTAATTTGCATGTGCCTATTAATTGCCTATTACAGAATTCAATGTCTACAATGTGCAAATCAGGCACACATTTTGCAAGATAATGCCCATAAAAATTATCTTCTGGGTATTTTAACTAAGTTTTCCTTTAGGAAGAAAAAAAAGGGTGCTTAGTAAGCTGCCCAGAACATTGAGAGTAAATTTATAGATTAAATCTACTACTCCCTTATGCTTAGTACATAAATAAAAACAAACATAATAGTGCCAAAAAATCAGATTTAATCCTTATAGAATATTTTTATGTACAGAGAGATCTATAACATCACTTGATTTAGATTCTAAAAAATAGACTGATAAAAAGTACATTTAAAATTATTCTTGTTTCTGTTCAGTTTTCATTAAAAAATGACTACTAGATAGTGATCACTCTGCCCCTGATGCTATTTGAAGTACAGACTATGTATTATTTTATTTAATCCTCATGAGTCTAAGGCAGGCGTTCATGTCAGGCCCAAATCACAGAATGGAGTTAGAGATTTAAAGCCTACAGCTCAGAAGAAACTGGAAATTGCTTCCATGCTGGTTAAAGAAACCAAAAATAATTAAACAGAATAAAATAAAATGGAACAGAACAGAATAAAATAGTATAGAAAATAGCCCAGGGCATCACAGATAGGAAAGTATTATTTTTGAGACTTTTGTTTTAAATACACATGAACACATGTATGCGTGAACTGATTCTTGATGTCCAAGTACATTTTCACTCTGGGTTGTGGCATATATACATATATTTTATATGTATATAAAATAAATATATACACATTAAATATATTTTTATATATGTTTATATATAAATATATATTTATATATACATGTATATATGTATATTTATATATTTATATATACATGTATATATGTATGTTTATACATGTATAAATGTATAAATACATTTTATATATAAACATATATAAAATATATTTAATGTGTATATATTTATTTTATATACATATAAAATATATGTATATTTATTTTATATGTATATAAAATATTAACTATGCTGACATCAAAAGCAATAGCAATCTGATTCTAAAGGGATGAACATTATAGCTTAATTTTAAAAAGTTCTGTATAGTGATTATGATAAGTTGGAAGATACATGTTGGCCCACAGCTAAATAGTCTGTTTCTGTTTTTTTTTTAATTCATGTTAACAGAAGAAAAACATCCTAAGATTAATCCCCTTCTTTCATATTGATAGAACTCACAATAAAAAATCATCAAACACTAAACCTCATTTATTTTTTTCTAAAGCACACAGGAGCTCACCCCACACATGAACAATAAGGAAACCATACAAATATTGAGAAAAACATCTCCATGAATACATACATATATATATTTATTTATTCTTCAGAGCAGCAATCAGACGTTTAACAACAATATGAATTGGCTTTCAATAAAGAATGCTTTCTGACAGGCTTTTGAATAGGAAATGGGGAGGTAAGTTACTGCCACGCAATATCTGGTATTCAGTCACTTGAATCCTGAGGACTGGGAAAGCCACCTTGGAATTTATATTTAATTTCATCATTGGCCTGTTCAGCTTTTGCATTTCACTAAATCTGGACCAGAACTAACCCCTCAGTGCTTGATCTCTCACACTTAAAGCTGTGGGAGAGAGATGGGGGGAAGCTGGGCAGGAAAACATGCGTGGGGCCCAGGGCCCGGTTTCCCGCCAGTGCTCATTCACTTGTGCACTTTGATCTGCGGTTTTCCTTTAGAGACATCAAAGTGTCAGAGTTCAAAGTTGTACCTAAACTGGCTAGGTCCATCAGAACTTGCAAATGTCTCTTGGAAGGCTTCAGAAGGGAAAAAAAAAAATTAAAAATTCACAAGAGTCCGTACCATTTAAAAGTTATGTCAAGACATTGCCCATGATACATTTCTTAGGTCACCATTCGATAGCTCAGAACACTCTTTTTAAACATGTCAATGTTTCTGGCATCACCATTGACTTTAAATAATGGACAATAAAAGATGTCCAGAAAGCTGGAGAAGCATCTGATTCTGGATCTCTTCCATGTTACCCGTTAAAATGTACCTTCCAGCTTGCCTTTAAGGCTTTCCGTATGTCTGGTTCTGAGATGAGATTAAAAATAGGAAAAGTTTGGAAAGGAGTGATGATTCAAAATATGTTCCTGGCTCTCACACCCATTGTTTCCTTTCTGACATCTCAGCTCTAGCTGCCAACAGGGATGTTCAAGGGCACACTTTAAAGTCAGCTAAGCCTAACAGGAGTGTTTTCCTATCATTTCCCTTTCTTAACCATGCAGAATTTGCGCAAAAGTAAAAAAGAAAGTCCATGGGTTTTGATGCTCACAATATTCAATTAGAAAGACCTCCTCCTGGCGTGACGGGAGCTTGTTCAAAGATATTCTTTTAGATTCTCAAACCTTTGACAATGGAATCAGCGAGGCTGGGCGAATAAATGAGAGAGCAGTCTCCTTGGTCTCGGTTTACAATAACTAGGACACCCTCTCATGCCCTCATCCCACGTTTCACTCTTTTGGAAATTTAAATTTCTTTTAGCTGATTAGTCTGTTTTTGTGTTCTGGTTGCAAGGATATCTTTTAAATGTATGACAGTCAATCCTACTGAATGAGTTTTGGCCTGTTAAAGTTTATTCCATTAAAACACCATGAAGCCTGAGGCAAAATAGTGCAAGGTGAAGTGAGGAGTCTGATTAGAAGTTTTCTTTCTTTCTTACCTGTCAGAGAGCAAAATACTCAAACACAAAGTGACAAATAGAATTGATTTGGAATACTGCCTCTCCACAATTCAGGAAGCCAACCCACATCAGGCAAAGGCAACATTTCAAAGTGCAGAACATCTAGGCCCATGTATGGCTAATGCCCAAAGTACTGTATAAAGCACATGCAACATTCAGGAACATGACACTTGGAGAATAAAGCACATTAGTTCTAAGTGATTCAGGAAGATCAAAGCACATGTAAACATTTCAACACACTCTATTTTTATTAGAAAAAATATTCAAGTCTTAACGTATGGTCAGGGCTAAATTTAACATTTAACCAAGGGGTTGTTGTATACGGCCATTCTTCCTGTTTCTGACACTAAACTTATTTATATTTACTGTGTATGAATCCTAAATCTAAATGAAAACTGATGTTCAGCCTTAAAATGTACACCCCTAAGGAAGGTAAAATTATTGATCTTGCAAAGGCTAGAGACAGCTGCTGCCTATTAGTGGATCTTGAACTCCTCCTCCAAATTCTTAAGCCCACTAATGTGGGTTAGACGCCAGGAAACCAAATTTTTTTCACATGAAAATGAGAGAGAGTGCAGAAAACACATGCTGGCACTGCAGAAAAATGGGGAGAAATTTGGTGGACCATCTCTGACTTGGCTCAGGAATTAAGAATTCTGCAAATACAGCTACTGAGACTAGAGGCTAGATTTACTGAGTTACTTAATATCCTAAAACACTGTCATTAAAAAAAAAATCAAAAGTTTGTTCTATCAAGTTTGGTACTTATATATGACCAAATCTAAAAGTGTTTCCAGCAGGGAAAAAAAAAAGAAACTGAGTAAGGTACTGCTGAATAGCATAATTAGGTAAGAATAAAAATTATTGTACAAGAGGGGGAATTTTCTTAGCTCTATTTACGGGGAGTTAGCTACATAAGATAAAATTCTCATCTATAAGATAATGATTAGGAGGTCAAACCTAAGCCCTAGGTATGAGTGTTATAAAATAGTAAGAAAATCTACTCCTTTTCCTTCTTAATTTATATTATTTGAAATCAAATTAGAAAAAGTATAGTATTTAAATAACATTCACATCAATATTTCTTAAGGACTTATCGTAGTCATAATTGGTTTTTAATTCAAGGTTATGGGAAAAAGTACTCAGGAAATGTAAAAATACTCTTTGCTTTGTTTAATGTTTCTAGATGTCTAGTACAGATTAAATCCTATTCATACAAACAGTAAGTGAGGTATCTATTTTTCATTACCCAAAATTCTAATGCCCTAAAATTATTAGGAATTAAAAAGACAATAGGATAAAATTGAAAAATAGAGTGCTTTCAATATGCAGGGTTTAAAGATTTTTAATATTTCTTTTAATAGGATTTGTCCTTCATTTGAAAGTTTTAACAGATTGATCTGAGTATGAAATTGCCAGCAACTATGGCTTAATTCTTGGGGAGAATAAGTCATTGTAACGAAACCCTTGCTTTTAGTATTGACAGCTTCTGTTGCTCCAATTTATGAAGATTCCAGTCTACACAACAGTGGAGTGTTGGCTTTGTTTCATTTATAATAAAACTGAAGTAATAATAGCATCACATAGTTATACATTAAGTACACACACATACAACTATTTATGCCATGTAGTTACACGAATAATAGTCCTAAGAGACTTTAAATATCCATCTTCTGTCAAATACTTTGAAGCACAAAACTATAGTAAGAAAGCACATGGCATTCAATTTCTGACGATTCATCCCCAAAGAAGGCAAAGCACAACAATAACTAACCTCTGAAATACAAATTCCATTAAGTGCAATTTTCCAGAACACAAAGTCAATCTGGAAATACATTTAAAAATTCAATAACTTCCCTTTTTAAATTAGTAAGCTCAGTATATAATTTGCAAACAATCTGAAGTGATTTTTCCAATGTTTGTTCATAGTCTTTTTCTCTCTCATAAAAATATACTCACCGCTTCATTTTCCATATCTAATTTTCACACTTATTTAGCTCAAAATATCTAACCTAATAGGAATATCTTTCTTCTCCACATTTCCAAATATGCAATAGATTTTACTTAAATCTCATAATAAGAACAGCACTAGTAATAACATTCTCTTATGTTTAAGCTCAAAGTAAATCTGAACAGCTCAAAAGGGAGAAATTTTTAATCCTCCCGACCACAGAACTGAAAATTAGTGCAACTTCCTTCAATTTGTCAAGTGAATACTGTAAGTAGACACACAAAGAGATAATCATCCCAAGAACAAGGTACTATTTTTTAACTTTCTAACTCCTCCTGGGCACAAGGGAGGTGCAGAACCATGTCATCCAGGAAAACTCGCAGATGCTGAGGGTCTTAGACTGAGCTTGAAAAGGGAACCACTAGCTTTCCACCCACATAAACCTCCTCAATATTTCGGTCATCTCCTGAAAGAAAAAACAGGGAATCATTTATAAAGTGCTTTTGTGTAAATAAGTAGTTTAATTGCGCTGGGAGAGATTTAAAAGCAAAACACACTTCTAAGGCAGAACATACAAAAAGCTGCCCTTTTTTTTTCTCTCTCTCTGATTGTTTAAAATATAGACAGGGAGAAATGACCCATAGAAGATATTGCGTCTAATTTGAGGATTGGGATTTGAATTCTGCACCTAAGACAGAAATCACATGAAGTTGAATTGACCCCCATCACAGTCCTTGCAGCTGCAGTGAGTGGTTTGCCTTTGCAACCCCAAATTAAAGGAAATACTGATCTTTACATCCCAGAGTCATACTCAGCATGGTGAGATGAAGGACCTGAAAGAACTGAGCTCCACGAGAAACACAGCATGTGTCTCTTCTGTCTCAAGTTCACTCAAGACTCAGAGCTCACTCAGCTGAGTGGGAAGCAGAGTAGCATCTTCTACACTTTCCCTCAGTGAATACAGTGGAATGTGAATTCGTGAAGAAGCACAGGCGGCGAGACTCCACCACATCCTTCTCATGAATACAACATAGTAGGGCAGCCTGGGTGTGGAGAAGAAGCGTAGGAGATAGAGACCTGATGATCTAGAGGAGCATGCAAATTTCAAATCGTGTCTTTAAACATTGTGCCATAAATGGGCTCCATGCTGAGGAATTTTTTTTTTAAATCAAAACAAATTATCACACATAGGGTTTAACATGTGGTATCATAAAGGAAGTGAGTCATACCCAAGAAAGAGACAAAGGAAGATTTCATATAGCATAGAAATATATTTCTACCTACCTAGATAGAGAAACTTCTGGATAACAGCCTAAAATAGAAAATAAAGGTAATAATAAGAATTGTTTTGTGCATTTAGAAAAGTAAACTCACAGCCAATAATGACCAAGAAATAGAAATTCATTACTCAATGGTAAAATCTACTTTTATTAATGAAAAAGAAATGGCCTTTTGCTTAAAAATGTTTTTAACCAGCTATTAACAAATGTTTATCTATTGCCTAAAAGTTCTTGGTATATAACCTTGAAATCTTTAGAAGAAAAGTGTTACATAAATTAAATTAATTGATTTAATAAAATAATGCAAATATATTAAGAGGTCTATAAGAAAAATAACTGGATGTATAGGACTGAGCCTTATTCCCAGAAGTTTACTCTAATAAAGGAGTAAAAAAATAAATAATATGAAAATAACGAATAATCAACCTCAAATATCCAGCATCTTTCTTCTGAAAAACCTTCATACATTATATTTATACATTTACTTTCATAAGTGGATCTATTTATAAATGATAATTAACTTTTTTAGAGTAACTTGACATCTTATAACAAATTATTATTAAAGTAAGAAGAAACTGCTTATTTTATACATAGGGAAACATTTTATAATACGAGGAACAAAGTAATAAAATTCATTTTCTTATAATTAAGAATCAATGTAGCATTGTTGGTCAAGAGTCCAGACTCTGGAAGTCATAAAGTCCTGGGCTGGAATCCCAATTCTGTCTACTAGTTACTAATTACTAGCCATGAGTCCTTTAGGTAATCACTTAATCTCCCTTAAGCCTCACTGCCCCACAAATTACATGGCAATATCAATAGTACCTACCTCTCATAAGAGTGGTTCTGATGATTAAACAAAAATTATGTATGAAAGTGCTTAATGTCACACTACCTAGCAAGTATATTCAATAAGTGCTAGCTACATTATGGCTTCTTATAGCCAATACATTCAAATATACAAATATATACAAAATATAAATATTCTGTTAGTACCATTATTGGTACCATTATTGTCATGAAATCGTACCTTTTTTTTCTTTTTTATTATTGTCACTACTACAGATGTCCTCATTTTCCCCTCCTTTGCCCACATCCACGCAGCTCCCAACACCCCTTTGCTCTGGACATCACCACACTGTTGTTTGTGTCCATGAGTTATGCATATACGTTCTTTAGCTAATCCCTTTCCCTTGTTTCATTCAGTTCTCCCCCTGCCTCCTACACTCCGAGATCTGTCCGTCTGTTCCATGTATTCATGCCTCTGGTTCGATTTTGTTTATTTTGTCAATTAGATTCCACATATAAATGAAATCATATGGTATTATAACTTTTTAAAATCTAGCATCCTTTTTAAGAATCTCCTGCATTCCTTCAAAATGTTTCTTTCTATTTTGGTTTTGGAAGGGAAGCTATTGTGATTACTTCATGAAATAGGTGTGTTTGATTAACTTTTTTTTTTTTACTTACCTCAGAAACATCACCAACTAAATCCCCATAAAACAGATCAATGGGAGAGTCTGATGCTTTGGGATTGATCAAAAGGGCATCAAATTCCTTGCCCACTTCAAAGTTTCCAATCTCTCTATCCAGCCCTAGAGCTACAGATAGAATAAATTAATAAACAATCAGTATTTCAAGTCATCAGACTATGACAATACCCCAGTTTGCAAGGACAGAATCTGCCAACATATCACTAGAAAAAAAATAGTATCTTAATAGTGAAGAATTATATTCCAATAGGTCATGAGATTTCAACTTACAGAAAGCAGAGTAAGCAAATGGAAAGCAAAATCTGAGAATAAAAACAGTTCCTTCATCACCATGATCATAATTCTGATGGTGTCTCTCTATTTTTCAGCTCAGTGCACTTCACAGTCTAACTGGTCTATGACTTTCATTCATCCCTCCAAGAAACACAACAATTAATAAAATATCTTCCATTTTTTTCCCTCCTAGTTCTCCTCTCCCCAACACTCTGACTCCCTCCCTTGTCCTTTTTGTTCTATGAAATAGCTGATAAGACCTATTTTCATGGCCATGAAATGAACCTCAAATAAATAAAAAAATATTTATCTTTTTGCACATTTGCCAATGCAGGCATTTCCATCAGAAGTTCCTTAGTTTGCATCATTGGAATAAAAAAAAAATCACTTCTGAAAGTAAATAGATGCTCATAACTTAGAAGTCCTAATCCTTTCAAAAGCAGACCAATTTCTTTGCAACCTCAAAGATGTTTTTCTGGTTGCCAGAGAAGGACGGTTTTCTAAAATAGAGTATAGGTCAATAATGTCTATTGATTAGATCCATCTCATAGCTAACATTTTTGTTCCATGAGTATTAGATGCCAAAAAAGAACATCTTTTTCATTGATATTATTTAGTTTCAAAAGATGGGTGTAGTTGGCTTTCCAAGTCAATAAAGTTATTGAATCTTGAGCTCAGTAAAGCCTGTAGTAGAGTAAGGTATGCAAGGAGGTCTCAAATACATGCATAAAGGGGGGATCAACTGGAATGCAGCATTATTTATTTGAGTTTTTACATGTGTTTGTTGTATCCTATCTCAGTCAGGGTATGATCCAATGTGAAAATATTGGATGGCACATTCCTAATAGATGATATCTGGTACATTATATTTCTACGTATGGATATGCAGAAGTCTTTTGGCAATGCTTTAATCATTGATTTAGAAATCCTACTTATTCTTAAAAGGTTATGTAGAAGGCAACTCTTTTATTCTCAGAGAAGAAAGAGTTTTAGCTAAAGAATTCTTGCAGGAAGGCAAGGGTTCAAAAATAATTAGAAATGTTAAAAGCTGTTAGGTGACTTCTAATTGTGTGGTGAAGGACTGAATGTAATAGAAATCATTGGAAATCCTCTCCTCCATCCACATACCCTTGACAAAGGAACATGACAAATATAAGTTTTTAATGACTGTATTCAACATAAAATTGTTGTGTGTTTAATAGTCCAGATAACCAGGTTCATTTGCCGCAGTTTGATAATACATAAACTTACTGAGCTATTTGTTAGAACTTGGCGAGTCAGGCATGCACTAACCAAGAAAGACACAATTGCTTTTGGTGAATTTGGAAATTGATGTAAATTCAAATTATTGCAGTAAGGCCCAGCAGGGCTGGTAAGGAATTCCAATGCATTTTAGGAAACACAGTTTTTCTGCCTTTGGAGCAAATGTTGGCTCTGTGAACGTCATTTATGCACATCTTGAATATAAAGGTCATGGCAAGCTTGACAGAGGCCACACTTGAAATAGGAATCCATTCATCTCATTTCACTCAGACTCTTGTAGAGACACGAGTCAAGGAGAAGAAATTCAGTAACAGTAAGCCCAACAGCCCAGAAAATAGATTTGAAAGCTATACAAAGTAGAAATGATTTGGTAAGTACCCCATGCTGCTGGCTTGATCAGACACAGAATCCTGATGAAGTAATTCACAGAAAACTTAGAGTTAAAAAAATAGAAAAGGACTATTTAAATACAACTCTTTTGCACTAGGAAAATAAGATGGCTGGCCAACTGCTTGAACTCAGATGGACAAACAGTGGTGGTGGAGCTGGGGAGCATCACACTTGTTAAAAAAAAATGGTGATGTAAAACATGGAACTTCACAAGAAATCCTGTGTCTTGGAAATACAAACACAGGACCTCTACTTGTTTTTCTTGAAGGGTTTTTTCTGCCCTGACCTGGTAGCTCAGTTGGTTAGATCATCATCCTGATATGCCAAGGCTGTGGGTTTGATCTCTAGTCAAGGCATGTACAAGAAGCAACTAATGAATGCATAAATAAGTGGAACAACAAATCAATGCCTCTTTTTCTCTCTTTCTTCCCCCCACCCCCGACCCCTGCCTCTAAAATTTTTTTAAAAAAAGAGGAAGGGTTCTTTACAGCACTCATCATAACCCAGAAGATTCAAAGAAGAGCCAGGAAGTTTCTCTTCCCAGGATATTCTTAGTCTCCATCATTCTCCATTTTTTTAAGATCCAGGGTATCTGTCATAAATCTTCTTCTATATCGATATCTGTCTCTATATGTTTAATTTTATTTCTCACTACTACCTAAGGTTTCACACTATGTTCACGATTATTCACCTGGATTACATCATAATATAAACTGACTGAAAGCAATACAATTACTGATTTCTTTTTCCGTGAAAATACAGTCATATGTGAGAACTGGGAAAAGCTAATGAACCATATTTTCATATCAAACAACTATATTTTGACATCCTTGTCCACTTAAAGAGACTTAGGTAATTAGAGTACTCAACTATATAAACAAAGTGCATACTCTAAGCTGGAATTTATACATGAAGATATCACAATGGAAAGGTAAGAACGTTCACACTGGCATCAGATTTTGGATTCATATGTAAGCTTCCATCAGGTACCTTGTTGATAAAAATAGAATCAATAACAGCGGTTGTGAGGTAAATAACAACATATATAAAGCATGTTGCATAGTGCCTATCATATGGTAAGAGCTATTGGCTATTACTTTTACCATTTGTATTATTATCATTGTCTTCAGGCCAATAGAGAGTGTTACTTGACTCAATGGAAAACTGATTATTTTAAAGAATTTGTATTCACGTGACCAATGCAAATACCCATTAAAATAATTAATATGATAACTGTGTCTTAAACATCTCTTCTGCCAAAGAAGAGAGCTTGCTGAAAGAATTATTCCTCCACTACGTGTTTGAACATGCACTTGACTTGCTATGTTTTGGGTACATTATGTGAGATGCAACAGCATGAATATTGGGCGCCTGCTGATGCCATTATCAGGTTCCTGCATAGTGCATCCAAGGACAGATTGGCATGGTTGTACATTGTTAGAGAAAAAAAATAGTCATTACCTTGGCTGCCTCCAAGAGTAGCTAGTCTGAATACCTCCTCCACGGTGAGGCCTTTTGCATTTATCTTATTAATTAAAAGTGTATTGGAAACCACCATTGCTTTTCTGACTGCATCAAGCAGGGAAGGTGAATAACCACCAGCCACATCTATGGTAAATAAAATAAAGCCAAAACAGTAACCTTGTGAGAAAAATGGAATATTAAGTATATATATATATTTTTTACATCATTTTCAATTACAGTTTATATTCAATGTTATTTTGCATTGTTTCAGGTGTACAGCAGAGTTGTTAGACAATAATATACTTTCCAAAGTGATCCCTCCAATATTTCAAGTAGCCACCTGGCACCATACATAATTATTACAATAGTAATATTATTGACTATATTCCCTATGCTGTATCTTTACATTCCCATGATTGTTTTGTAACTACCAATTTGTACCTCTTAATAGGTTGAGTTTTTGTTTGTTTTTAGTGAGAAATAATCAGTCTTTAATATACTTCAAATAAAAAATCTTATCTGTAAATATGGAATAGACATAGACTAATATGTAAAGAAATTCAAAACCTGCAATTAGTATCAAATGTACACCCATAGTAGTTTCCCAGGCCTGCTGCAACAAATGACCACAAATTTGTGTCATAAAAGAGCAGAAATGTATTCTCTCACAGCTTTGGAGGGCAAAAGTCTTAAATCAAAGCGTTCACAGGTCCATGATCCCTATAAAGGCTCTAGGGAAGAATTGTTCCTCGCTTCTTCCAGTTGCTGGTGGCTTGTGGCATTCCTTGGTTTGTGGCACTGTAACTCCAATACCTGCTTCCCTCTTCAGATGGCCTTGTTCCCCCGTGTGTTTATGCGGTTCTCTTTTTCTGTCCCTTATAAGACATTCATCATTGGATTTAGGGATCACACTAATTCAGAATGATTTCATCACCTTAATTACATTTGCAAAGACCTTTGTTCCAAGCAAGGTCATTTTTACATGTTCCACGTAGACCTTTTTTTTGGAGGTGAGGGGTCAATTCAGTGCAATGACCAAATGGTTAATGAAATTAAGGGAAAAACATTCTTATTTCTGAATATTCCCTAAATTCTCACAGAAGTTTGTCAAATATGGCTGCCTAGTTATAAAGATAATTTAGATAACATGATATGAGATTTAAAATAAGCTCACAGTTCTATGCTCCAATAATTTGTCCCACCTTTATTCTAATTCAGATGAGAGCTTTGGAAATTAAAAAAGCACTTCCTTATGATAATTTTAGAGGCAGAACTTTTAGAATAAATTGACATATTCTGGAAAATTAGTATAATAAGTGAGCAATGCTGATGTAAACAGCTTTGTATGTTTGTTGGCATCATTAGACGAGGAATGAGATTTTTTTCATGATTCAAAAAATAAAATCCCTCATATTTAAATTGAAATACTACCTTTGACAAATATAGAAGAACAAGAACGAATAAGAGACGTTATTATATGGGTTTATATAAATAGGCCAAGTAAGTTAGCATGTTTTATTAGATGAAAAGAATAAGTAAAAAATACACTTTCTATTTCAAGGGTCCTTTCTGTCATTTCAAAGTAGACATATATAATCCTTAATGCATACACACACACACACACACACACACACATTTAATCAAAAGTAATAGCTTATTAAGTAATAATCCTAGATTTATGTTTAATTTTATTTTCACTATCTTCCACCTCCTTAGATAAACTTTTATGAATTTTTCTTTAACCAGAACAGTATTGCCTGAGGATCATCCACTTTCTTGATAAGTTTCATTACATCTACTTAAGTCATTAGTCCATTTTACTAGCCATCTATTAAACCTTCATTTTGGCATAGCATCAAAGTAGGAAAACAAAATTTGGAAATAATGCACATTAAGCTTTGAAATACTTTGTCTACTTTTTATCTTTATTGCTGGAACAAAAAAATGTTAAATGAAAATGCTATCACTGTATGGTATGGAAACATATAAAAACTGAATATATATTTCAAAATATATGGCTAAAGACTGAGAGGAAACAGAAAAACAAAAGTAAGATCATTAGGATTGTAAGAACATGGAAGATTTAAATACTTGCAGTAATAAAAACAGGTTTCATAAAATATTATGGGAAGTTGTATTTTCCTCAATATCTCAGCAAACTATCCATATAAAAAGGATAAGGGGAGATGAAGAAACAATGCTATGCAATTTACTGAGAAAATTTTGAGAGCTGTCTTATTATGTTGCTGCTTTATAGGATGATTTAATCATCCTTTCCTTTTCTGGTTATTATGTTAACAAAGTTCCAACAAAGGAACAATACTGTGCAGATCAAAGAATAAACCCTGGACTACAGAAACCGTGATATGTCATCAAGCTTTTCTTCCAGGGACTTCCACTGTGACTGTAACTTCCTGATCAGTGCCCTGCATGGTGAGCTCAGTGGTTCTTCCTCCCTCTGCAACACGTTAGTGAAGGCAGAATCCCTACTTTACCATATAACAAGAGGCAGTGTAATGAGGTGAAAAGAGAGATAATGAACAACACATTTTACCGACCTAGGTTTAGACTGTAGATACGGATTTTTTTTGCTTTCTTGACCTTTTGTCAATTACTTACTACCTGTGAACCTCCATTTTCTCAGAAAATAGAAATAACATTGCCTATTTTAACAGTTGCTGAAAAATCCAATTAAGTAACATAATGCTGGGAAATGAGGACTAAAGTGTAGAAACTGCATGGAGAAAAGGTTGGGAAAAATGGATACACTTTCTCAGACAAACTTATCCCCAAACCCATGCCCTCTACGATCATGATAAAGAATGGTATTATCATTTGCTTACCAGAGTCAGCATAAGGACACACTGTTTACAAGACTCTAAGCAAACCATACAAGAAATTTGAGTCAGAGGGCAATGAAAACATAAAAGGAAATAATTTTATATGTATTTGTTCACTGATGCATTCATTCATTTATTGACAGTCATTTAACTGAGTACCTGCTATGTGGTTGATTTACGTAAGCATTCATAAATAGAATTTATGGGTTCCATATGAGCTAATCATCTAGTAGAGGAGAAAGAAAAGAGACATATAAACAAGCAAATATTAACTATGCATTGTGTTTGGTTAGTGTTAGAGAAGATGGAGGTGGAAAGCCCATTTAGACAGGATGGTCAGAGAAGACCTCTTCAGGGCAATGACACTTAAACTAAGACAGAAATGAGAACTCAGCCATGTAAAGAGAGGTATAAAGGGCATTACAGGCAGAGGAACAGAATGCACAAAAGGTGTTTTGCTGGAAGGAAGTGTGATTCATAAGAGGGAATTTAAAGATGGCCCAAGTAAGAAGGTAAGAGTGGTAGGATATGAGGCTGGGAGGTAGACAGGTGTCCAAACCATGCAGAGCTTTGTTGCCTTTTAATGAGGTTTGCATATTCAAAACCCCACTGAAGGGTATAAGAAGGAGGGAGTGAAATGGTCAGATTTTCATTGTGATTCTTTTGAAAAGAGAAGACTGGATTAGAAGGGCCCGGGATGAATATGAGATTGACTAGGAAGCTAGTGCAAGAGTTCAGGCCAGAAACAATGGCAGCTTGCATTAGGAAGTGGTGGCTGATATGGAAAAAGAGTATAGATTCAGGAGCTATAAAGCAGTCATGAGGCTGGACATTGCATTGGCTTAGACATGGGGGAAAGGTGAGAGAGAAGAAGGTCTCGAAGACAACACCTAAATTTCCACTCTGAGAAACTGAATTCTCTCAAAAGGAAAGCCATTTATAACAGCCAGGCTTAAATGTGTTTTGGGATATAATAAACTGTGAAGGACCTATGAGGACGGGTAAAAGAGGAAGGAAAAACTAAGAAACTGAAAATACCAGTCTGGAATTCAAAGAGAAATAGGCCCTGGATATAAAAATTAGAGTCATCTGCATATATGTAAGCATGTAAAGCCATAGTTGTGAATGAAGTCTCTTAAAGGACCCATGAACAAAGCCAAAGGGGGTTAGGATTGAAGGTGGGAGGTCAGGGTGGGTGGGGTGGGGGAGAGTGGTGGTGGGTGGGGGGGAATGGAGACAACTGTACTTAAATAATTTTTTAAAAAAGAAAAGGGATGAATATACTTGACCAGATTCATATTCAAAAAGAAGAAAGAAGGAGGAAGAAGAAGGAGAAGAAGAAGAAGAAGAAGAAGAAGAAGAAGAAGAAGAAGAAGAAGAAGAAGAAGAAGAAGAAGAAGAAGAAGGAGAAGGAGGAGGATAAGGGGGGGATGGGCAAGAAGGGAGAGGGGAGAGGGAGAAGGAGGAAGAGGAGAAGGTGACATGAAGTCAAAACAGGAGAGAGCCTAGGACTAAGGCTTGAGTGAGAAGAAAGGGCCTTCATAGAAAATGAAGAAGGGCAGCAAGAGAGGAAGGAGGGAAACAAGAACAGTGTGGTTTCACTGAATCCAATATAAGGCTGTTTGGACAAAGGAGAGAGTAGTCAACTATGGCAAATACTGCTCAGAAGTTCAGTATAAGTACCAAGTGATGTCCCTTGGAGTTGGCAGCAAGAGATCGCAGGGGTAATAACCCAAGGGAGAAAGGACAAGGATCATTACCATGGAGGCTGAGGCAAGAAGCCAGCCTGAAGTGAGTGGAGGAATGGAAGAGTGCCTAGAAAATTGTAGCAGTGTTGGGGCTCCATTCTTGAAGAAGTTTTGCTTTGAAGGGGAGTAGAGAGGTAGAGAGGTGGGGAGGAGGGGCTGTCATGAGTCCAGCTAGTATAAACATTTTTGTACAACTCTTTTTGCAAACATATGTGTTCATGTCTCTCAGGTAAATCCCAAAATGGAATTACTGGGTCATATGTAGATTAACATTTAACTTTATAAGAAACTGCCAAAGAATTCTCTAAAGAGGTTAAGCATTTATCCCTCCCCCTCCAGTTGTATATGAAGTCTACATGCTTCTTATTCTTTTGTTTTTTCTTCTTTCATTTAAAAAATTTTCTTTTCCATCACAACATTATAGTGCCACGTTTTCTTGTACTCTAAGGATGATGGTAATTTTCTAAAATTTTCTTCTGGATCCTGAACTAAATTGTTTGCAGAAATATGCTCATTCTTGTATTCTTTTTGATATTGCTTTCTCTTGTTTTTCAGTGTTTGTTGTTAAGCTTCATGTGAGTTTCCCCTAATACTTGAGCAAGTCCAGATATGCCTACACTTGTTATATATATGGTGGATGAACTGCTCTTGAAACTGTTCTGTCCATAATATCAGGTTAAACAATCTTCTAAAGTCTACAAGTGAAAGGCAAGTTCATATGCAAAGGTCATGTTTAGGATATAGTGAAGCATAGAGTGGCTTTCACAGCAGAGATAATATAAAATGCACTCTCCAATTTAATAAGCAAATACATCATATTTAATCAAACATTTGGTCAATACACCAACATTGCCCTTTACCTTTTAAGGCAATCTTTATTAGCCAGTAGAATGTGTCAGATATGTGCCAACCACTTCACATGAATTTTTTTCATTGAGGTCTCAAAATAAGCTTGTAAGATAGATATGGTTATAATTGTTGCTGTTATTATAGAAATTAGAAAATGAAGTCTTAGAAAATTATTTTTTTCAGTATCTTACAGCTAATCAACGACAATTAAAGCTTTACCTAGGTGTTTTAGGCCATTGCTATACAACCCAAAGTTAAGAACTAGAAGTCATGTGATGAATTTAAATTATAGAGACAAAACTCCCAGAAAATTTGAAAGCAACACCTACCTTATTTTGTATGTCTGCTAAATTTTTCATTAATTGACTGTGTAACAAAAACCCTTGGCCATATTTTTCTTATCCATTAAACCTTTTCTGTTAAGGTAAAATATCTGGTTTCCTGTGTTAGCACCTATGACTATACCCAGGTATTACACAATCTCAATGATTCAAGGATTAGTGGGGAAAATTTCTAAATTAGCATGCATATTTAAAAATATTAATAAATCTCTTTGTATTATTGTGTGTCTTACCAAAGAACTGCTTGGTATAAAGTTAACTGAGACTTGAATTATTCCAGAAAATGATGACAGTTGTCATCGTCAACATGCAAGTGTCCCAAGGCTCTTAAAGATCAGGAGGGGAAGCGCATGAAGAATGGAAAATAAGTCTTATGTCCACACCCGTTTTTTTAAAAACATTTAGTCCATTCATACACAGTAATAAAAGCAAGTTCACAGTAGATACCCCTATACATTTGGGCCTAACACATACTTTCAAAGTGAGTAGCACTGCACACACTCTGGAAAACAATCATTAAAATGTACTGTAGAAAAAAAGAGACATCATTAATTTATCAGCCACTGGGAATGCCCTTGAGCCTAGCAAACATCAGATCGCCCAGGGGAATGGAATCACATTTTGTTAACTCTGCTTAAAAGCAAAGCAAGTACTTAACATAACTCAGAGTTCTCAGTGCTGTCCTGGATTGAATTTGTGCTTAGTATGTATGGCAAGGTCAAACCCTTTTCTTTTGAGACAGTATATGTCATGGCACACTTATGGAAGACTAAAAACATACACATCCCAACTATTAAAGCTTAGCCAGGGGGCCAAAACAGAAGAAAAAAAAAATCAAGAACTCTTTATAAAGGATCTCTGAAACACCTGAAAAGAACTTATCCTTTACAGCCTCTGAACAGTAAATACAGACAACAGCTTTCAGAAAGTTAGTGACATCAAAACATCTTCCCTTGCTTCCAAACTCACTATTTTATTAGCTCAAGATATTACAATCAGAAAATAAAACTAATTTTTTAAGCTTGTAACTGTAACTTGAAAATTCGTCACGTAAGAAAGTTATGCACTTAATCAACCACTTTGCCATGGCCCCAAATGGCAGACTACTAACCTGTACCCAGCCCTAGTTTCACGTCATGTTTCAGCACTTCCACCGCATTGAGAAAACCACTGCAGAGCCTGTAGAGAGAGGAGACTGTCAGCACCAGGAGACCTGTGTGGGTCCAACGGAAGGACACTAACAACAGTGTGTAACTAATTTCAGCGACTTCTTGAGTCAGTGCTCGCCATCATATAGGCTGTAATGTGGACACACATATTCATCAAATCAGGCCATCTGAAACCTGAAGTAGAAATATATCATAAAGGAGCTTGAATCCTTGCACTGAGGTCAATCTTAGGAGGGTACAAAGAAGCGAGAACAAAAACAGAAAGCAGGGGATCATTTGCGAGGAAAAATAAAGAAATTAAATTTTACAATTAGTCTAAAAGTGTTGCCAGTCTTTAATAGTTTCTTAACCAACCCATCCTGCTATGTTAGGAAGTAGAAAATATAAAGCATTGCCTTTCCTGTCCATTAGGAATAACCCTGAATGAGTAGTGACTTTCGTCGATAAAAAGGGGGTATAACTGGGAAAGGAGGTGCAGGCTGGTGAGTCTGGGCCTGACAGTTGAAATGTGGCTGCTGAGGACAGCAGAAACTAGGATAGATGGTTCCTAAGCTGAACTCTGGACCTCATCACCCTGAGCTTAAGAGATATGTTGCCTTTCTAAGGAAATAAAGGAAAACTAAAGCGACTCTTCAAAGTCTGAAAAGATGCAAAGGTCAAAGCGGTCTGCACATAACTGTAATTTTCAACGCCCTAGTATACATGCAGTAACTCTCTGAAAGTTGTCGAAGGAAGAATAGCAGTGACCATTTAAACAGAAATGTATCCATGAAGAAATTGAACTTCAAACCTTAATTTGGATCATGTCACAATTTAGATGTTGTGTAACTGATAGAAGGGATGTTAAACCCTTCCCCTACCTGGCCACTAGACCACAATTATGGTCACTAAGCTGAACATGGGCAGGGTTCCCTGTCATGTGTTACCACTCTCTGTCAGAAAACTAGAAGCCTCTGGAACCTCTCCAAACACTCCAGAGATAAATCACTGTGCCTCTTGTGCCCTTGCCATACTACCACAGACATATAACTTTTTCATTCACAAAGTCCCTAGACTTCTAACTGCCGGCACCTCCAACGTTTTGCCTAGGGCTCCCTTCAGCTGCTAGAACCTGCTCTTCCCTCGTTTGGGGAAGGTTGGAAGCTCCAGAGAATCAATGCCTCTTCACCCCACCCAGCAGTCCCCCAACAATAACTGGTGGGTGTGTAGGTATAACTGCTCCAGATCCCCTACCATTTGAGGAGAATGACTTGGAGGTCTACTTTGCACACTGGTCCCTGAATTTTCCAGAAGGACTAAACTCCAGGAGCCCATGCTGGTAACTTGGTTAACGATGCACTCTTTATTGACTTCCTGCCCCTTTCTGTCTTGCCCCACTAAAGGTGCTTCCTGAGCTCACCTCCCCAATAAAGTACATGTGTGTGAACCCTTGTCTTACGGTCTGCTTCTGCGAGGGCTCAAAAACAAGAAAACACAAAGTAATCCTTGAAAAATACTAAAATCTAGCAGAAGCTAAGTAAATATATTGAATGACTATATGAATGATCCACCCGGCCCTGCCTCTAAGAGGAAACAGCTCTGTTCTGGGACGACTGACACCAGAAAGGAGAGCTCCTTTCTGTGTCTAACTCTGGAGCATGAATTCTTAACCTAGCACCCATGGAACAGCATACTGGGGTCTATGAATCCCTAAAATTAGCTCCAGCATGTTCATATCTCTGGGCTTTTTTCTGAAGGTACAGGCCATAACTTTCACCTGACTCACTTGTGGATATCTAACTTTTCAAAATGTAGTTATAAATAAAGCCTTTGCATTCTGGTGAACTATAATAGGGCAAAGTCCCTTTTATTTGAACTGGCATGCTGCCAGATCTAGCAGGTGACATATACTGTATGTAGCATCTTGGCTTCCAGTAGCACTGCAGTTCTACTAGTCTGTTTCCAGTAGTTTGCACAACACAAATAATGGGAAGTCAGTACCCTCTCCCTGGAACACCTGGCTGGCATATGTGCCCTTTCATCCTTTAGCTGTAAGTTCTGAATGTTATTGGTTTTGAACTCTTTCTGGTGTTATTTAAATTTCCTGTTTTGTGTAAACTCAGAAATTTTAAGAGATGTAGTACTCTTCAAATATGTACTCTGCAAAAAAAAAAAATGTCCTGTTATGTACTCTCTCCCCCCACTACAGTTAAGGTATCTGTCTATCTAGTTCCTGTCCCAATCAAACATAACAGTAGAAGAGAGAAATCAGAGGAATGACAGAGAAAACAAAGGCTGATATTTTGCAACCCCAACATCCATCATCTATCAATCAATAATTGCCTACTTACGATATGTTAGAATTGGGACAAAATGAGATCGATGCTCCTCGTTCCCTGAATATATCCAGTTCTTCTGCAGAAAGGTAGCAGCCATGTGCCATCACTGTCTGGAGAGAGGGATGTCCTATGTTGAGTTTGCCACTTAAAAGTGCTTAAGTTAGTCCTCACTCACCAGAACACACTATAGGTACAGATAGAAGCTATGACATCTGTATGTGTCAGCATGTACACGAAGATGTCAGCGCCGTCACAAGATTGTGATTACCTGTCTGTATAAAATCACTCTGTACAAGTCTCATCTCAAAAAAAAATTTTTTTAAAAGCCTGTAAAAATATTGTATTACAAAAAGTTTCCACCAATTTATAGACTTCATCTTTTTATTTTTTTAAATCTATACAATAAGGAGGGTTGATCCAGGTCATCTACAGCATAGGACATCCCTCCCGTTTGAAGATATTATGACTCCTTTATCTCTACTTTAGAAAATAACCAAGTTACTTTCTTTTCTAAATCTAGAGGGCATCTGGTGGGACTGTGCTTATTCCAATTTTTTTTTATTTATTTTAATTTATTTTTTCAAATACCTTTGTCTCTGCCTACCCCCAATTTTAATCAAACTTTCTAGAAGTAAGCTTTCCTTTCTCAGTACATGGAAGCTATAGGAAGCTGGGAAGAGTTGTTATTTATTTCTGTCCCTAGTTAGATATAGGTGCCAATGGTCCTGACACATAACCAAACACACTGTAGTTATTTCATCACCCATATTTACATTTTCATAAAAATTAGGAAATGTAATGCCTTATAAGCATGAATTCAGAAAGTAAAATTGATCCAAGAAGGCAGACACTGCACACATAAGAGACTTCTCTTAATTTGTAGTCTTGGTAATATTTGTGGGTTTTCCTGAACAAGACTTCACTCTTTCAAAATTCTTTTTCCTTCAGTACAAAACTTGTATCTGAATAGTTTCCTCCCTTGGGAGGCATGGTTCAGTGGCCACAGAATTATTATTAAAATATAACTTTCCTAACCTCTGTGCAAATCAAATTAGCATGCAAACTGAAGGTTATTTTATTAATCATAGAGAAATATATGTAATGGAGAATGAAGATTAAGGTGTAGCATTTATAAGATTTATGCAGAATATTAACTTTTCAAATTAGTCATATTCACATCTCCATTCACAAAGTTCCTACGAATTTCTTTGCTGCCATAATTAAATTCTTCTTGCAGTTTGTACATTTCACTGAAGGCCAAGGCCAAGGGGTATATTGTTCTAATGAGGTCTCTCCTCACTCATGTTAATTTTAATTACTTTAAAAGTGTTTGATTATAAAAACAATACATTCTTATGCAAGCAATTTCAGAGTGTTTAAAGATAAAAAGGAAAAGGTCCTTCTGCTTTCTTCCTCAGGAAGAATCACCTTTAACGTTCAATGTGTGTCTACCAGACAATTTTTTCTAAGTTAGCTTGCACCCACACATATAGACGCATACATCAAATAATATGGTAAACCTGTATGCCTCATTCTTTGTGAATGTTCGATCAAATTCCAATTACATATGTTCTATGATCTAAACAATCCCCAGCAAGAGCCAGTTTTTTAACTTTCTTATGTAATAAACATCCCTAATCATATTCCCTACAGAATGGGTCCTTAGAAATGAGATGCTAACTCAAAGAAATGTACATTTACATTCTAATAAATACTGACAAAATGCCCTTGGACCAAATGACATTCCCACCCTCAATGAAACCTTTAGATTTATTTACTGGGATGAAAGTTCAGGCCCATTTTAAACTATGTACACACACATATGCACAGAGCTTTACTTGAGTCTGGGAAACACACGCATGTCATAGAAGTCTGAAGAGCACTGCTGAGATTTTAAAATTTAGATACACATGCCCTATTTGACACAGGTTATGTCATGATATGCAATTTACCTTATTTGTCAGAAGATTGTTTTTATCATACACATCTGTATAGTTTTTATAACAGGGGTATAAGTTTTTCACAGCTTCAACTTCATCAGGATTTTCACTTATATGGCTCTGCAAGAAAAGAAATAATATTTTCAATTTTTTAATATAAAATGCCATTCGAAATTATACTTCCTGCCCCAAAATGATATGGATGGTTTCTACTTGCCTATGTGAGGCACCATATAGAAAGACAATGAAGACTGTACATGTGTTTTATTTAAAATAACCATATGATGAAATTATGAATGCATAATTATACAAATGTATAATGTTCTAACCCATGTAAAATTCTTCCAACAAAATATTTTCAAATTCCAAACTATAGCAAGAACAAACAAAAATAAAAAAGATTCCTTGAAGAGAATTAAGAGCCTAGCTTTTTGCCCACCTACCTCTTCTGGTGTTGGCCAATTAAGAAAAGAATTCCATGGAATTTGACTAAAGAAAGCTGAATTTTCACCCAAGTTCTGACCCTAGTTATGCATCTTAGGGTGAGTCAGTTCTTTTCTTTGGGTCTCCCATTTCCTCATCTCTCAAATGAAATGGTTGGAGTACATAAGTAGTTTTCCAGATTCTTTTTAGCTTTGGACATGTTATTCTGCTAAAAATTCATAGAGATCCAGTATCTAAAAGGCATAAACAAGTTGCCTCTCAGGATGAAGCAGGGTTGGGACTCTGGAACCCTGTCTCCATTCTGTCCCATTTTTTGGTGTCCAGAATGAGTTCTTCTGCAGAAAACAATTTGAAAATAACTGAGCTAGACAACCCCGTAGCCACCCAGAAAGATCCCATAAAAAACCACATGCAAGCAAAGCGAGCAAGTCCTGGCTCCCACACCAACCTTTCTCCAGCGCATCACAAAACCTGAGAGCACATCAAGTGTTTTTGAGATACAACACTTAAGCGTAACATACCTACCTCTCTGGTGATGAATAGATATTATGGGAAAAATCTCATGAACAAGTTACCACTTCCAAAAACAGCAATGCTATTTCCCCACTCTCAATGAGGATGAGTATGCATAGTGAAATAAATAAGAGAACAGCAGTGTTTCAAAAACAGTGTTCCCCCTATGCAGTGAGCTCTGTCCCTGGCTTTGGGGAAAGCCCAGACCACTGAAGAAATGCATGGGCATCAGGAGAGAAAGGGCAACCAGATGATCTGTGTCATTTTGATACATTTGAGGAAATACATATACATACTCATATAGACATACACCCCCAGCAAGGATATTCCTGCTTTTGTTGTGTTGATGGGGTTCAAAACATACTGCCCCCAAATATGGCATCTTGGCATGTTGAAAAACTGAAGGAGTTTGAGACTGGCAGAAGTAGGAAGTTCACTCTGATGCTCCACCCTCCCCATCCTTCCATCCCTGAAGCAGGTCGTAACAGTCACAGGTGAGAGATGCCTGTCTTACACCCAGAGGACAGGAGCATCTTTATTTCTGAAGACAAGGGAGCCAAAAAGAATCTACACAAACAGGCCTTGCTAGGGTTCCTACACTTACCTCCTATCCCTTAACCTATCACATTCCTCCCTGACCATGCAGTCTTCATCAAAATCTAGCAAAAACTACTCAGGTCTAACAGTTTCTCTGAGTTTTTACTTCCTGTGAAGGATCTGTCATGTAAAACTTATATTAAATATGTTTGTGTGCTCTTCTTCTGTTAATCTGTCTTTGTTAGTTTAGTTTTCAGACCAAGACGAAGACCCAAAGAAGGTCAAGGAAAACTTTTTTCTCCCCTACAACTGTGTGGGATTGAATCCAACATTCAAATATCACAGACCTCAAAACACAAAGAGGAAAAAAAGAATGGGGAAAGATGAGGATCATTAATAAGCCCTATCAAAATAAATCTAGAAAACAAAACAAAACAACCCATTCTCCACATTACAAATGATAAAGAATCAATGGGTTGCCTTCTCCCTGACTTGCACTCTGCTATAAGATAGCCAGCCTTCAGGGAGGAAATTTTAGTGCAGTATGTAATGAAGCTCGGACAGGGGGTGGGGAGCTCCCAACTTCCAATTTTAATCCAGCTGGAAGCTTTAAAAAGTGTTTTGTTCCTGAATTGCAACTGCTTAATGACAAAGTAAATACACCTTTTTTTTGTTGTTGTTCCTGATTTTAAATTAAGAAACTTGGAACAAAGGGGTTTTTAAATGCATTTTTGTAGAGTGGAAATTAGGTTCTTATTGTTTTTTTAAGTAATAGGCGGTTCCTTCAAACACAAGGGACTTGAATGCTGAGAAAACATCAAATGAAAGAGAAGTAGACCAGACATGCATTAAATGTATCCTACAGACAACAGGTAACCAGTTTGTCATAGATCTTGCTGGGTTGCTTATGATGGCCTCGTCTCTGCAAGCCTGATCAGAAATCATTGGAAGGAAAAGGAGCTTCAGGTTTCCTAACTGAAAAATCAAAGTGGATTTAGGTAACATCTGTAGAGGCCATAGTACTATGTCTCTAGGAGATCTCAAGAGAAGAATTGGAGATTACTGCCAGAATGCAGGATACTGAGCAGTCTTCCAGGTCTGGACTGAGGCATGAACAGGAGAAAAATACCCACCTGAATGTGCAAATCGTGGGTCTTTGCAATGTTTCCAAGTTCACGCATCAATGTCTCAGAGCAGGAAAGGGCAAAACGTGGTGTCACTATGGGCTTCACTCTAGGATACTGGAATAACCAAAAACAGTTGATTAGGAAACTATGGGTATCATGGATATGTAGCATATCATGCAACAAGGTGCTTTTATGTCCTGATATTTGGGAACATTCCTCCTTTCTAAGAGTGGGTGGAAATGCTGGGTTTCATGGAAACAACTCATGGCCGAGGACAAAAGAGAGTATATTCTGTAGCACCAAGTCCAGTGGAAGAAGATCTCATCCCAAATGATAGCCACCCCCGGTCCACATCCACAGGAAAGCTCCATCGAGACCTACTTTGGTGGCCTTTAGGAAGAGAATAGAGAGGCAGAAAGAGAACTTTTAAAGGCGAGTGCTGGGGAGACTAGAAGTGAGGCAGTGGCCTATTCCCCTTTCCACATCCTGGGGAGGTGTGCTGACTGTTTAGTTGCAGAGCTGGCTCTGATGTCACTTGAGGTGAGGGTCTGAGCAGGAAAGAAGAGCTCGTAGAGGGAGGGCAAAAATAAAGATACACAAAGTTCCACCTAAGTCTCCAAGACAAGACTGAAAGATGTTCAGAGGTTTCCTATGGTTTCCAATCAGACTTCAAAAGATGGTAAGGGATGGGTGTGGCTTCCCAATTGAAGAACCTGCACTATGGAACCATGAACCAGCCTGCTAGGGATGGGGCAGGATATAGCTGTGTCTCCGTCGACTCAACAGCAGCAAGGTCTCCAAAGGGGCATGCCTAGCTGCGGGCCTGCAGGCCATGTGACATGCCATACACACGCATATGAACCAAGGCAGCCGGTGGCAGGGGCATCAGGGCTGGGCACCTCCTGTGTGTCAGGCCACATCGGGGGTACAACAGGCCAGAGCCAATATTAACAGAGCCAATTAACACCAGACCTCAATTTCCAGGTCCTGCCGATCTGTCCACAGCCATGCAGCCGTCCCCTACCTCCACAGAGACCAGTCCTATGAAATTTGAAGGTCCAGGAGGAGAGGGAGAGAAGACCACTGAGAAAGCAAAAAAGGCCCGACCTCACTGAACTGGGTTGACAGGTCCACTGAAACCGATTTAAGGTTCTAGGAAAATACTTCTATGTGCACGGGATAAGCCAAATGTACACAGATTATTCTCTGCCAAGCAACTTCGTAACATCCTATAGCTAAGAAAGGGCAATCCCAAAATAAGCTGGGAACAAGTTTACTTACGTTCCTTTGGAGTATTTCTGACACAAATCTGAGAGAAGACAACAAATGGAAAGTTAGAAAACTTAGACATTTTGAAAAAATTTTAAAGCATGAAAACATCTTTCCATGTCCTGTTTCCCATGCAAACACTTCTAACACTGCACATGTCTCACCACCACTAATTAATGATTAACAAGTAGTAATTACTCTTCTTTCTCATTTGCAGCGATGGAATGCAAAATCACAGGGAAGCACAGTTTTATCATCTAACATCAGCTGGGCTGTTCCCACAAGTATTCCCATAGCACTTAGGCCATTCTAGCAGCCTTAGCTCAGTTTAGGGAAATACTGCACTATGTGATGCTCCAGGGATATTCAAGTGCTAGGGTCCTGTGCACCTGGAAGCATTTAGAAGCCACAGGACTCTCTGCTCCCAATTTCCCTTAAGTGGATCCAAGCTACTTGCTCCCACAATATCATCCTTCACTTCCCAAGGTAGAGTCCTACTCCACCTGGATTTTGAAGGAAGCAGAAGAAAAAAGGTCAGAGCTGGTTATGTGAAAGGCGTGTTGATGGGGGCAGCAATCTTACCAATTACAGCTGCGGGGATGGTGGTATCTGCATGGCCTAAGAAATAGCTAATTCTGCCCTGGCTGGGGATGTTTACCACCTCTAGCTCCCTGCCTTCAGTACAGCTTTGTTTCAGAATAAAATGTGAATTAAGGTTTACTAAGACCACAAACACAAATTCAGAGAAAAGTAGAGCTGATGACCAATGCTGAGGGGAAGGCGCACGCCTCCTTTTCCTTGGGAGCAGGGAGCAGCCCCAGGCTTCCCTCTCAGAGGACACACTCAGGTGAAGGGGGCCTGGGGAATAAAGGAAAGCAGGGCTTCTAAAATCTGCACCAGGATACATTTGGACTTGGAGAAGATTTAAATCTAAAGAAATTTCTTGTATGTGTATCTCTTGGGTATTGAGTGTCATACAACACAATTCCTTGTCAAATCCGTAAGGCGCTACGGAAAAGCCATTAGAGGAATGTAGAAAAAGTACTTATAGGATAAATAGACTATCCCAACATAAGATAAAAAGTTCAAATCCATGTTGTTCAAGGATCTACTGTAATTTAATGAGTAGGCCATGCACATACTTAAAGCAAGTCCGATGTACAAGAGAAAACGACATCTATAATAAAGGAGAGGGTAAATCATTTACTTCAAAAAAAGATTCCTTTTATTTTTTGTAGGGGTTTACCCAAGGACTCCTATAACAAGTTTCCAGAAGCTTTAAAATATAATTTGGTATACAAAAATAGTACTGGCATGCAACTTTTTAAAGGACCTGATGAATTTCATAGTGTTGGGCAAACCCACACTGTAACATGTGTGCACATTTCGCCTGATGCAGAGGTTTCCTCTCTGTCTCCTGCTCATCAGTGCAGCAAAGGGGATGCCTACAAGACACATCAAGACAAACGTACCTCTCTGTTTCCTTGATTGATTCCTCAGTGGTTTCCTTATATTCTGGAAAAGTGTCATTCTTATCCATGTTGACTTTGCCCACAAATGCCCGCTGCCCAAATTTATCTGAGGCACACAAAAAGAATCTAAAGTTATGTGTCTTTTCCACACAGTACCTCTTCTGAGACTTTTAAAAACTTAAAATCATTATGAAAACATAGGTGAGAATGTTATAGGTTTTCCATTAAGAACAATAACAACAAAACCCCACTAAGATCTGTAAATAATAAATATTCTTCCATCCACCACATCAACCATCACCTCCCCCACCTCCACTTCCAGGCTGGTCAGGCAATAATTGGGTGCTTTGTACTTATTATTCAGCATTTCCTTTTGTTTACACAGATTGTCTATCTTTTTACTCAAGTCATAACTACCCTTGTTCCCACTTGATTGCATGGAGAGGGGACAGCCTCAGACCCTGGTGAAATACTCCATTCACCCTTCACATGGCTACACCTGTTTCTTCTTAATTCCTTTTCTTTTTTCCATTGCTCACAATTTCCTTCCTATCTCTGACCCCACCACTGTCCCATGGATTGAATCCCTCTCTATATTTTTCCTCCAATTTACAGAGAAAGCAGCCTAGTCTAGTGATAACAAAAAGGGCACTGGAGTTTGACCGACTTGGTTGGACTTGACTCCTTATTCTCTTTTTACTTCCAGAATAGTGGATATTGTTTGTTTAAGGTTTGAATGTCTATGTGTCCAGTGCCCTCTGCTATGTGCAGTTAAAAGGAATACACCCAGTAGTGCATACAAATTATCTGGCACATGCTTAGAAAAGACATTGCAGCTATTCTTAACTATAGCTATGCCAACATTATCTGTAAAAAAAAATGTATTTAGTCCTACTAGCAGCTCTTAGCACTAAAGAACCTAGTCATCTTTAGGGGTTCTAGAAGAATTCTGTTTCATCTAGGAAGTTGAGTCTACATTGGGTATTGTTAATTCTTTTTACAATATCTCCACCTCTGTCATAAGAATCTTACAGAAGTCTTTCTGCCTCTCTCTTTCCCTGTAATTCAAATAACTAGCCATTAAATTACTCTTTCTTAAAACACCACCTTCATCACATACTTCATCTGGCTCAAAACCTTCTTTGAGCTTTTGATGCATATTGACATCTCTTCATAGTCTGAACCATTCCATTCACGCAACCTACTTTCCCACCCCTACCTCCTATGCAATGAATTCTGTGCCCCCGTTTGGCTACTCTGTTCCCTGCTTCCAGTGTCCACTATAGAAATTCCTGTCTCCATACCTTTGTCCATGTCATTTCCCTTGTCCAGAGGACATTTTCCTCTTTCTCCATTTTATCTTTCCTTTAAAACCAAGTTTAAAAATCTCTTCCCTTCTTTGAAGTCTTGCTAGGTATTCCAGTTCTGGGTCCTCTCTGTCCCCTCCCAAAACAGCAATAGTTATTTCAGCATCATCCGTCAGGCCTTTCACATCAACAACCTTGGTCAGCAAGCAGTAGCATCAGCATTATCAGCCAACATCATTTACTGAGCACCTGCTATATGATAGGCACTGCGTTGAATACAAGTTTCAGAATCATCAACCTAAATCAAGTCCTAACTCTGCTAACCAGCTGTGTGTCCTGGGCATGTTTTTAACCTCTCTGAGCATGAGTTTATCCATCTGTAACATGAGAACATAATAACTACTTTAGAAGGCTGTTTGCAACTTAGCTGACTTAATCCATTTAGAATGCTTTGCACAACGCCAGGCATCTTAGTAAGAGTGCTGCAGCTGTTCCTAAAGTTACTAATCAATGTGTGCAGTTACTAATCAATTAGTCCTATCTGGCAGCTCAAGGGCACAGACTATGTTCTGTTTCATTTTGTTCCCAGCAATTTTCACAGTGCCCTGAGTATAACCAACAGCCAATATATGTCTGTTGACTAAAACAAACTGTTGCCATCACTAGAATTAATAAACCCTCTCCAAAAAGCTCTAAATTAATACACAATATTTAGACCCATATACATCATTCTGGAACCAAAAACTATAAGTACATAATCAAATTACTGAAACAATAAAAAAAGTCAGGGGCCACAGTAATACACAGACATCTAATTACTTGCAACAAATGCAATGCCCAAATTCCAGCAATTAAAAGACAAGACTGCCCAGAAGTATAACTCATTGTCAGAGATGATCTGGCTGGCATTGTTAGATATGCCCATAAATCATGCCTTTTTCTCTTCACCTGTAATTTCTGCAAGGAGCAGAGATGAGTCAGTGTAAATTGTTGCAAAGTAACAAGCTGTGGTTGTTCCATTCTTCAGTGTTCTCCTCTAAAAATAAATCACAAAAACCATGAGTTGCATGTGCCAAGAAAGTCATGTGGCATATACAGATGAAAACAGTATTCTAGTTTTTAATTTGAAAATGTTTATATTTAAATGTACATCATCTCAATATGAAATACAGTTAAGGTAAATGGCAAAAGTACTGATATTCCAAAAGTGTGGAGAAGTTGATACTTTTGATTTCCTAGATTCTCACACTTCTGTTTTGCAGAATTCGTGAAATGTGATGCTAATTAATTCTTTATCTTTAAGGTTTGTGTGAGTATATGCAAAATTTATTGCATATGGGAGTGAATAAATGAGATTTTTCTATTACAGGGTAAAATAATTCAGCCAGACTTCTAGTTCAACCTGGCAGATTGGTCACATGTATCTATGTCTCTTCCTGAGCAAATTTCCACTAAAATAACAGTAAAAGAGTACAAAATTTATTACCCAGCAAGAACATAAGAAGAGATATGAACAGAAGAAACATTTCCACATCTCCTTGAAAGACAAAGAATATGGATGAGAACCTCAATGCAACTTAGAAAGAGAGAGAGACGCATGTGGTTGTTAACAGGGAATTGGCTCAAAGTCTGTCTACAGATGATAAAGCCCTGGCAGGACCCCTCTCATCCCTGTTGAAGTCAACTAAATGCCTCTAATCTGCTCCTTGCATGAGAGATGTACACTCTGTAGAAATTGGGTAGTATTTAGAGGATAAAAGTCCCAAAGGACAAGATGAGACACAGGCTGAAAAAGAAGAGGTTGGAGAGCAAATCTGGCTCATCTCCAGGGTCCCTCGGTCAGCTGGCCTAGAACGCCACATGTATTACACCTGCCACTCCTGGCAGGACTGAAGAACATGAGTCCCTAGAGAAGACAAGCAACTCTCCAAGAAAGAAATCCTCACAATGACATGTGGGGCCCACAGTTGAAAAGGCTGTTCACTACCTTCACTGTTTCTCCTATGTTGAAGTTCACTGGTAAACAAGAACTACCTCCACCCAGATCTTCCAACTGACATCTTAGGGCACCAAACTTAGGTATGAATGTATGTTCAAGGTTCAACAGACACTGAAGGGGAGCTACTGTGAAAAGGAGAAGGAGAAAGAAAAACTCTGGAAAAAATATTGGAGGAAACAGGATCAGAAAGAAGCGCAATTTAAAAAATACAATTAATTCTGAAAGAATTAAAGAAGATATCACATCCACAAGACAAGAACAGAATGCTATGAAAATCGAGGAACAAGAGCTCTACACAAGTAAAAGTTTTATCAATGAAATTTAGAAATCAATAGAAGGGTTGTAGGATAAATTAAAAGAGAATACCTGAGGGGGAAAAATACTTCGAACTTAAATAATAGGGAATTAATATATCTCAGACAGCAGTCTTTACTCTGCCTTAGCCAATTGTTTAAAAAAGTAAACGAGCGCCCAGAGATGACAGTTAGTCCCAAAGGACAAGAGAATTTGAAAAGCTGGATTTTTATGTCAATCTTTTCAAATTTTAAGACATTTTTCACATGAAGTAAAAAACATCTGGCTACCAATAGAGGATGATTAGAGCCTGTCAGCTACAGACAAGGATGAGCTGTCTATCAGAATCACGAGTCCAGGGGGAAAGTTAATACCATGACACAGACATCAGATTCAATCTCCAGCACCTCCCAAAGTGTCTGGAGCCTGTGTACTCAGGAAACATTATTGAATGAATACCTGAGGAAGCTAAATGACTAAGCAACAATAGATATAAAATGAACTAAAATTAGTACTCTTAGATGAATAGAATAGGACATGATGTCCTTGAAAGAGGACAGGCTATTATAACAGTAGAGTGAATTAATGACTTCCAGAATGAACCATGGTGTTCTTTAAGAATGTAATACAAAAGTATATAGTTTTCAACATTTTTCTAAAAGGAGTTACCAGAAAAAGAGAGAAGACTGAAGGGAAGAATATACTCAGAGAGAAAGAGAAATTCTCAAATTGGAAGAAAGACAGTCATTCTCATGTTGAATTAACTACATATTAAAGATAATGAACTCAAAAGAATCTGTAAGTGAAATTTCAGAATATCCTAAAGACCAGCAAATGAGCCAGGATGGAATGGGAATCAGATTGGCACCAGCACATTGGATGCTGATGGGAAAATCATTTCAAATAGAATTTTCTCTACAGCAAAAGCACATCATTTAACAGTCAGAACAAAGTAAAACCAGTCTTGATAATTCAAGGGTTTGAAATATTTATCACCACTTTATTAAAAAAGAATTATCAGAGCCATATTCCAAGAAAATAAAGAATGAATCTAAAAGAAAGGGGGTCCAAATAGCTAAAGAAAAATTAAAACTCAAAGGAGACTTCTGGCCAAGATGGAGGCATAGGTAAACACCATTCACCTCCTTGAACAACCAAAGCAAAAATTACAACTAAAATACAAAACAGTTGTCACCCAGAATCATCAGAAAATCAAATTGTATGGAAGTGTGACAACCAAGAAAATAAAGAAGTCACATTCATCCAAACGGGTAGGAGGGGTGGAGATGCGGAGACACACAGAGACACACAGAGACATGGAGACGCCAAATGGGCAGTCCCACGCCCACGCGTGGTGGATAAAAATTGGGAGGGATACCTCAGGAGTGAGGGATCCCAGCCCCACACCAGACCACCCAGCCCAGGTCCCAGTGCCAGGAAGATTAGTCCCCATAACTTCTGGCTGTAAAAAAAGTGGGGGTTGAGGTGGAGGAAGAAACTGCAGGATTCTCTGGAGTCTCCTCTTAAAGGGCCTGCAATGGACTTAGGACTTACGCAGACTCACTTGCTCTGAGCTCCAGCACTGGGGCAGCAGCTGGAAGTGCACCAGTGGCATACAGGTAGAATCTGAAGTACCTGGCATCAAGGTGAGTGCCAGAGGACAGTGTCCTCCTGGACAAAATTCCAGAGGCCAGGAGGAAGCATTGTTCCTTTTCTGAGCCCTTCCCTACACACAGAGCCACAGAGCAGTGACACAATATCAGAGACTCCATCAACCTGGTTCATACAGGCTGCCCTGCCCTGTATCATTATCTAAGGCTCCACCCCATCCAACTTACCTGTGTGCTTTTCTACAACAGCCCATGCTACTAAGATAGGGATTCAAAGCAGCTCTACCTAATACATAGAAACAAACACAGAGAGGCTGCCAAAATGAGGAGACAAAGAAATATAGCTCAAATGAAAGAACAGAACTCCAGAAAGAGAACTGAACAAAAAGGAGATAAGCAACCTATTAGATGCAAAGTTCAAAACACTGATTTTTAGGATGCTTAAAGAACTCATTGGGTATTCAGCAACATAAAAAAGACCAAGGCAGAAATGAAGTTTACACTAAGTGAAATAAAGAAAAATTTATGAGAAATCAACAGTGGAGTGGATGAAGCCACGAATCAAATCAATGATTTGGAACGTAAGAAAATAAACATTCAGTCAAAACAAGAAAAAAAAAAACAATCCAAAAAAAACAAGGATAGGTTAAGGAGCCCCTGCAACAACTTCAAACATGCCAACATTTGAATCACAGGGGTGCTGGAAGAAGTGAGAGAACAAGAAATTGAAAACTTATTTGAAAAAATAATGCAAGAAAACATTCCTAATTTGGTGACAGAAATAGACATATAAGTTCCGGAAGCACAGAGAGTCCCAAACAAGTTGGACCCAAAGAAGAGTACACCAAGACACATCATAATTAAAATGTCAAAGGCTAAAAATAAAGAGAGAATCTTAAAAGCAGCAAGAGAAAAGCAGAGAGTTACCTACAAAAGAATTCCCATAAGACTCAGCTGATTTCTCAAAAGAAACTTTGCAGGCTAGAAGGGACTGGCAAGAAGTATTCAAAGTGATGAAAAGCAAGGACCTACAACCTAGATTACTCTATCTAGCAAAGCTATCATTTATAATTGAAGGTCAGATAAAGTGCTTCCCAGACAAGGTAAAAATAAAAGAGTTCATCATCACCAAGCCATTATTATATGAAATGTTAAAGGTACTTACTTAAGAAGAAGAAGATCAAAACTATGAACATTAAAATGGCAATAAATTCACAAGTATCAACAATCAACTCTAAAAAACAAACTAAGAAAACAAGCAGAATAGAAACAGAATCATAGATATGGAGATCATTTGAAGGGTTATTAGTTGGGAGGGGGAAGGGAGAGAATGGGAGAAAAGTTTCTGGGATTAAGAAGTACAAATTGGTATGCACAGAATAGAGAGGAGTTGTTAAGGACAATATAGGTAATTGAGTAGCCAAAGAACTTATATACATGACCCACGGACATTAACTAAGGGGGTGGGAGGTTTCTGGAGGGAATAGGGTACCAGGAGGAGTGGGGCAAGGAGGGAATAATTAGGACAACTATAATAGCATAATCAATAAAATATATCTTAAAAAGTAAAACTCATTGTTAAATTAAGTGCAGGTGTTGAAAATAATAAACTGGAATTAAAATGAATTTTAAAATATTAAATTTAAACATTAAAACTCACTTATTTTAACTTAAGTGGAGATGGTAAATAATAAGCTGAAACTAAAATCTCAGATGATATATCACAGGACATGGTGAGGAGGGTTATAACATGAGGAAGGGAAGGGTATGTAAGATCCTTATCTCACTATCTGAGAGAATGTAGAGAAAAATGATAGAAGACTTCCTTAATACTTTTAACAACTTAGTCTAATAGAGATGTAACAAATGTCATGTGCAGACCACCATAAAAATTGACCTTTTGTTGGGTCATAAAATAACAGTGAATTAATTCCCAAGAAAAAATAATAATAAAAATTACATTCACAAATCAGAGTAAAATAAAGTCCAAATTAAAACAGAAGTATATTTGGACATTTTCTAAATTCTCAAATATTTAAATAGCTTTCTAAAATCTGGGCTTGACAATGAAATCAAAATGGAAAATTTCAATTATTTAGCAATGAGGACAATGGAAATACTACCCATAGATGTCAAAATCTATGGTGCAAAACTCTGTGGTCTTGATTGCCCATCTGTTGAAATATAGACCTAGAACTGTTTTGTGAGGGAGAAATTAAAAAACCAAAATGTGTTGATTCTATTCATAGGTACTGCCTTAGAACCCCTATGCATTGTCATCTGCAGTCTTCAGCCTAAGGGCATGTTCTAGTTAACAAATCTTAATTTTCTTAAACAGCTGTCAACCATACCCTTGGCTCATGCAGTTTTTAGTGTGTGGTCCTGCTCATAATCAGAAATGTTGGCTGTATGAACTGCAAATACTTGTTGAGAGTAAAACCTATTTTTTACTCACTGACATAAAATCCTTACCCAAATCCCTAATTTAAGAAATAAAATGTATGGAGTATGGCCCAAAGGATACATAGTTCTAGATACTCTCTCTAAATATTAAAGTCTGGTATATCTGGACTTTTTTACTATAGCGCCTTGACAATAATATGTTTATTTTGACAACATAGCATGTAACTATATTAGAATATTGGGTACAATTTTCTTAAATTTCTGTATAAAAAATAGCTATGTTTATTTACCTTAACAATTTTTTCTAAATCATAGAAAAGGTGTAAAAGTCAAAAGTGATTTCCCTCTCTGGGTCAGATGCTAGACACTTAAGGCCAAATCGGTGACAAACCAACCAGGGCATATATTTACCTCTTGGTTTTATTTTATTTTTCCTCCCAGCTTTTTTCTTCTGCCATGATCTTGTGACTCATTTTCTTCTATTGGATACTATGCAATTTTAAGACATCTCAAACCATTTTTAGAATAATGCAAGGTATAAATAAATTTTGAAAATAAAAAGATTTGGTGTGGTTAACACAATGCACCAGCAACTCCATACACAGCTTTAGTCCTTCTCAGTTTTTCTGGTGTCATGACGATGCATGCTAATTATGGAAGAGCCACAATTACACTGACTGTATAATTAAGTGAGGCAAGTGTATAAATAATAGTATTTGCTTTTATTCTTCAAGGTTTGAGTGATACAAGACCAAGGAACTGGAAGGATAACTGGTCACTACATATGGCTTATCACAGTGTCACCATCACATAGCCATCACTTTAGGAGGCCATTCATCAACGGGTCCAACAAAAATGCAGGAATATTCAGACTAAATGTCCTGAATGATAACAGGTAGTGGTCAGATAAGAAGGTATTTGCAGCTTTAATTTTCAACTGCAGAAGCTGTTTCTGGTTACTAAGTGGATTGGGCATAGGGTTGAGGTAGAAAGACCGGAAATGATTTTCTGAGAGAGTGAAAGGAAGGACATTTTCAGAGCCTTCAACATAGAGTTGGCACACACTACAGCCACAGGTCAATGACTGAACTAGCCCCATTGTTCCCTCTAGCGGTGATAATGCTTGTCACATTCCCATATGCCTTGTAATGGAACCATCCTATTTTTCCTCATTGTGAAACTACCAAAATAGCATGACATCCTTATGATTGCAATTTAAATTTTTAATTTTACATTTCCTTGGGTATTTTTTAAAGCAAACACATGGAGTACTAACCATATGTCAGGCACTATTCTAAGAACCTTACAAATATTAACTTGCCTGATTATTATAACATTCCTGTGAAATAGGCACTATCATTATCTCCTTTTTTTTTTTTTACAGATGGGGAAAATGAGTCGCAGAACTTTCCAAACGTTATGCAGCTATTCCATATGGTCCCCAGAACAGTATCATGGATTAACAGGAGCAAGAGAACACATATATGCATTAAACCTGAATTTAGTAAAGTAAAACACAAAAAGTAAAAGACAGAGAGTCATGAGAATCCACCGGATTGGGGTTTTGGGAATTTGAACTCAAGTTCTCCCTTTGCTAGTGACAAGCTGTGTCACAAGGTGGTCACAAACCCACTGGGCAGTGGAAGACTGAGAAAATCTCAATAGTCCATTCTCGCCTTAACTGCCTGTGTTTTACATTAAAATTTACCCCAAGAAATGCATGTTTCCACAGGTGACCATACAAAATACAGCAAGCCTCACAAGCAGGATACTTACGACAACTCTAGTGTACACTTCTTCAGCAAAATCGGTGCTCTGGAATCTGAGTTCTGTAGGATACGTATACTTGGTCAGCCACTCCAGAAGCGGCAGGTCTACATGACTCCCAGCAAAGTAATACTGAGGGGCATGGATGTGTGTATCAACCAGCCCAGGCATGAAGAACTCACTGGAAATTAAGATGAGAGAAAAAGAATTTAATAGCACTCTTAGTGATTTTCCGTATCTTTAAATCATGTTTTCTGTTGGCAGTGATTGAATTGTTCACACCACATAGGTTTAGAGCTGAAGCAATCAGATGACTAAATTCTTCTCTTATTTAGAGATCAAGAAATTCAAATGAAGCTCTGCCAGGAGATACATGGCTCCTAACTTAGAATGGCTGGTGTGAGGTTAACCACAGGTGATGAAGGGAGGGAAAAGCACAGCATTGGGCAGAAGCAGAGCAGTCACAGCACAAGAAAGGAGTGAAGCAATGCTTTCGTTCTAGGGCTTTGTTCTCACAATTTGCAGTTGTAAGACAGGGAAAAAAGATGAGAGAGGAGGTCTTCAAATCTTCTAGAGCCATGCTGAGGAATTAGACAGAAGTCACTAAGTACAACTGAAGAAGAGGTGTGAAGATACCGTTGCAATGCTAGGTGCTTCTGATCGTTCCTGCTATTACCCTGATCCACCAATTCATTTTTACATTTCTATGGACTCTTATAACACAAAGTCCTGGAAAGATGTTCCTAAGAGTTTTCAGAGGCACTACTCACAGAATTGAGGTAGCCCAATGCTAAGAGATATGTAAAGCTTTTCTAAAGAACTATTCCTGTTCACTGGTATTAATTGTGTTTAATGTCATTGAAAGAGATATTTATTAAAATGATACTATGCACCACCATCACCCTCGAAATATTATATTTTAATATACATTAAGGACTGGAACTCAAAACTTCACCTAACAAAAACCCCTTATACTACCAATTAAAATGTATACCACCTCAATGGAAAACAAATAAAGACACAGGTATCTATAAATGCTTTCTTTTTTAAAAATGGTAACTGGAAACGATAGCACTAAGGTTAATGATGACGGTGATAGCAGGTAATGTTTACTGAAGATGTATGTATACTGGACACTGGGCACAGCATTCTATGTGCACCATCTTACTTGTTTAGTAGTAGAGGTTTAGTACATACGTTCTTGACTCAGGCTGCCTGATTTTGAATTCATGCCCCACCATAAGCCAGCAGTGGGATACTCAACACGTCATTTAATCTCTCTGTGGTTCAGTTTCCCTTAAGTAAAATGGAAATAGTAGTACCGTGACAGGGCTATTGTGAGGATTGTTAGCATGAGTAAAAACAGTACTTAGAGAATGGAAAACACTCAAAAAATGTTATTTGTGATGACGATGAAATGCTCACAACAAATCTATGAAGTACTATTGTTATCCTCATTTACATCAGAGTAAACTGCAGCTCAGGAAATTTAAATAGCTTGAAAAAAGTAATTATTCAACTAGTCAGCTCTGAAGCTTAGATTCAAACCATGGCAGTTTGTCAGTAGACTCAGTAACCTGGGTCATTACCCTCCATGTGACAGAACTTTTAATTTACTTCAGAAATGAAGAGTAGTGACAACTGTAAGCATGGCAAGAAGGCAGTGCTGAGGGGTATGCAGAGAGGGAGGGTAAAATATGGGTTACCCTTAGCTATTAGTCACTGACCTCCTCACGATACTTTTAATGTCTCTACCACCATAAAATGGAATGGAAATGTCACTTCATATAGTTGAGCTTTTTAATGTAAATATTATTTCCCAAGTCTCTAGTATGTTTTAAAAACTTGGCTAAGTTTTGTGGGGAGTCCAAAGAGAAGTAAAGCATCTTTTTGTCCTCAAAGAGATTACAACCTAGTTAAGAGATTAGGGATAAGTGAGGGAGGGTGTGTGTGTGTGTGTATGTGTGTAAGAGAAAGAGAGTGAGAGAAGGGGGGGCAAGTGTAAAAAAAGGGATAGGTATACAGGTCAAAACAGAAAGTGTTTAAGTGAGCAATTTCACACCTAGAAATTTACCCAAGTGAAATAAAATATGTTTACAAAAAGGATTGTACACAAATTTTCATAGCAGCCTCAAATTGAAAACAATCTAAATACCACAGGAAAATGGATGAATAAACTGTGATATATTAATACAATGGAATACTATTCAGCAATGAAAAAGAACGAAGTACTTTCTGCTATACACAACAGTATGAATGCATCTCAGAAACATTATGACGGATGGAAAAGCCAGACACAAAAGAACACATATTGAGTTATTCTATTTATATGACATTCAAAGACAGGTATAAGTAATCTATGTGATAGAAATCAAACAGGGGTTGCCTGTGGAGGCTGGAGAGTAACTGGAAGGGGCACAAGGCAACTTTCTAGGATGAGAGGAATGTCTTATATCTTGATTGGTATGTTGGTTACATAGGTATATATTTATAAAACTTTATTAAATCATATACCTAAGATCTATGCATTTTTCTATATAAAATGTTTCCTAAGTAACAACAAAAAAAAGCTTTTTGAGAAAGGGTCTTGAATACTCAATTTAGTGAATTAACTTGTATTTGTTATTTTGTAGCCAAGTGTAAGGGAATCACGAGGATGGGCATTCTCTGTTTTTATTTTCTTTGGCAGAACTGTAACATATTAAACCTCTGGTTTAGAAAATCTGATGGTGGCAGGCATATGTGAAAAGGCTCCTTCAACCTCTCAAACATGAAGTTTCTGAGTAAAGATTATGGTGACAAACAAAAAGGAAAAAAGTGAATACAAGAGAAAGAACTTGATCTTTAATTAGGAAGCAAAGGTAAGAAATGAGTCAAAAAGAGTAAGTTTTGAGCATGTGAGGCTGAACATATGACATAAAGCCAGAGAATTTTTTAGAGGAAAATGTCCCTTTGAAGGAAGGGTGATGTCATATTAAGCCTAGAGTCAATGTATGACCCTCAAGTTTTTTAAAAGCAATTAGAAATGTGGGCAAAGAGGTCACAGATGAGTTAAAGGTGGGATTCAGATTTGAGAGTCTCCTCTGTGTAGATAACCCGAGAAGCTGGTGGTGCCAGAGATTTCTGCAGAAAAAAGAACAAAACTAAACTTGGAACCGTCCCCTCCTTTTTTCCTCCCCCTTTGGCAGATGGACACAACAAGGTTTATTAGGGCCACTTATTTTTTTAAATTGAATTTATTGGTTCTTTTAATTGAATGTATTGGGGTTTTAAGTGTACAGTTCTATAGTACATTGCCTGTATATTGTATTGTGTATTTACCATCTAAAGTTTAATTGCCTTCCGTCACCATTTATTTTACCCTCTTCTACCGCCCCCCCGCCCCATCCCCATTTCCCTCTGGTAATCACCATTCTGCTGTCTGTGTCTATGAGCTTGTTTTATTTTTATTATTTTGTTTGATCCCTTCACCAATTTTATTTACCCCCCCCCCAGCCATCCTCTCCCCTGACAGCTGTCCCTCTATTCTATGAGCCTGCTTCTATTTGTTTGTTTATTTTGTTAATTAGATTCCACTAAGTGCTTCTCCCACATCTCCCCTGCCCGCACTAGTAGAGATGATGGCAGGAGAGGCAGAGTGCCCAATCGGGAAGGCTGCCACTCTGCAGGATGGGATAGCCTAAGCCTGAATCCCACTCTGCCCCTCATCACTCTGTGCTCTTGGGCAAGGTGTTAACCTTTACGCCTCTGTTTTCTTAGCTGTGAAAGGGGGATAAATAGTAAAAAATAATAATATGTAAATAAATAAGTATATACATATATATTTCTCCTAGTGTTGTTGTGAGGATTAAAGTGAAATCATATGGTATTTGTCTTTTTTCGATGGGCTTCTTTCACTGAGTATAATACTCTCCTGGTCCATCCATGGTGTTGCAAAAGGTAAGATGTCCTTCTTTTTAACAGTTGAGTAGTATCTCATTATGTAAATAAATGTACGGGGGTTTTTTCTGCCACTCATCTACTGATGGGTACTTGGGCTGCTTCCAAATCTTGGCTATTATAAATAGCATTGCAATGAACAAAGGGATGTGTATATACATTCTTTCAGCGTTTTGGGTTTCTTTGGGTATATTCCCAGAAGTGGAACAAAAGTCTGAAATGAACCCACTAGAAGAAATCAACAGGAGGTTAGATAAATCTGAAGACTGAATCAGCAACTTGGAGAACAAAATAACAGAAAACACCTGTTCCCGGGTGGGATTAACCCTCAGGGCAGACCTACAGCGCAGTATGTGAAGCACTGTGCAGGGGCTGCGCCCGGAGGCAGAATTGTTTCCAGCAGTGTCTGCTGAGTCAATCACAAGAAATACATTTTGAACAAATTCTTAAAAAGCCACAAAAAGTAGTTGGAACATAAAATCACAACTCAAATGCACTTCCAGACATAGGTCTTAGCTAACCATGCTGTCAGAGGGACTGCTCCCCAAATCTCCCTCCCGACCTCCCAACAATTATCTCTTATCGTGATTTCTTTATTTACTTCACAGACGGTACACAACCTATCACTGCCACACTTACGTATCTGTGCACTTGCTTACACTCTGTGTTCCCCAGGGGCTGTAAACTCTGTGAGGGCAAAGGCTTTGTAAACAATTTTCACCTCCAGATCCTAGTTTTCTTGTGCATATTAAGCCCAACAAATATTTGCTGACGGATTAAATAAATGATGGCAGCCTCTACTACTCAAAACTTCAGTCCTGCCACTCAGCTTCCTGTTCTTTATTTATCTCGCCTTCACACCTTACACCTTAAAAAATGTTAAAAGCTTCTCTGTCTCCCAAGGCAGGTTTCTTATCATCTGAAACAAGTTAATGGCATCCACAAAAGGGAGGAAGTTGGCTATCACTTACTGGTGGCTCAGTTCTCTTATTTCACATGGCTTGAAACACCATTCTTTGGCCAGCTTTTCTTGTTGAGATGCTTCTTCTAAAAACACTATCTTTAAAAGAAAGAAAGGGAAGAATCACACATTAATGAACCATAGTCACTTGTTGCTACTAAATATACAGATCTTTTTAAAAGAGACTATACTGGAGCTGAGTTAGTTTTAAAAGGTATTTGATACCAAATGGGATTGAGTTTAAAGGCAAGACAGTTGTTTGCCTTTGGCTGCCTAACAAAGTAAGTCAAACTGCATGTTATTTCTCTTTTTCTGCCATTCTATAGCTATAAACAAGAATTCAAAAATTCTAATTTGAAGATGCAGGGTATTTAAAATGGCTAAATGATATGTATTTCTTCCCCATCCCTGAAAATGATTACAGGAAACAATTGTTTATGGAAAGTATACCTCACTGTAAAGGACTAAAAGATTTTTGTTAGGCTATTATGGGAAATTCAGGTCCAGCCTACTGCAATAGTGCATCATGGTATAATTTCTTAACACTGAACAATTGCTCATAATTGCCTGACAAGTGAGTCTTAGTGTGAACTAGGTTGATGTCCTGATACTAGGCATCTACAATAGTCTTCTAGGACTACAAATGAGATATGAACAGAGTGATAGCTCGTGTTATTTTGTGAGGTCTGAAGTCCATGGGCTGCTAGTTGGAAACCTCAACGGGTCTCTTAATCTCTCTTGGTCTGGTTTCCCCCTCTGCAAACAGTGGGTAACACCAGTACACACTTCAGAAGGCTATTGTGAGGCCTTGTGATCATTTGAGTAAAGAAGTTAGCACATCCTTGGAATATGTTAAATGCTAGATACATTATATCTGATGCTGAAAATTTTTCAGTGTGATTGCTTTCTCTATAAAAATAGATTGCAAAGCAAGACAAAGCAAGGAAGAAATACCCTGTTTCATTTTTAAATGCAATATGTGAGAAAAAACATTTCATGGAACATGAAATACTGAAAAAAAAACTGTAGATAAAATGTATCTAATTAGAAGCAAGGCAATATACTGCAAAAAATTTTGTAGAACTAAAAATAACAAATATTAACTTCTTTATTCATTAAAGATACCCCTTTTTAAAAAATTAAAATATTTTAGAAGAGAAAATGAAGATATTATTTCTACAAATAAGGAAAAGTAATCTGATGATTCAAAAAATACATTAGAGTAAATAAATATCAAAGCAGGCACAAAATTAATCAAAACCCACAAAAACAGAATTTATTACTATATCTCAGAACTGATTTACTATTAAAGAAATTAATAATAAAGTATCTGTAAAACACTATATTCCCACATTTGGAAATATATTTGAAATAAATGACTTTAAGAAAAATATAAAAGATCAAACTTTATTCTAGAGAGGTAGGGAAACCGAATGAACTAATTCTAGGAGAAACTGAGAAGTTTTACTAACTCTTTAGGAAATCATATGGTTCAGAACCATGCTGTCTAATAGAAATATAATGCCCATCACAAACACACATGTAACTTTAATTTTCTGATGGCCACACTAAATGTTTGGACAAAACAGGTAAAATTAATTTTAAAATCATTTATTTAACAACACAGGTGGCCATGATAAAAGATTATCACGTCAACATGAAATCGATATAAAGTTATTAATTTTATTTTGGCAAGGGTATTTAGTCTTTAAATTCCTGGGTATATTTTGCATGTAAAGTATTTTTCAAGTGGGTCACTAAATTTTCATCAGAAATATTTTATCTATATATTTAGATTTTATATAATTTACAAAAAGTAGATTCACATACCCAGATTGATCCAAAAAACACTTCAAAGATTTCCCAAAACTGATATATCAATTTTAAAATGGAAAATTAAATTTAAAATATAAAACAAGAAATTAAAAAATTAAAAACTTCAGTTAATGGTCTCACTATCCACCTTTCAAGTGCTTAATGTAGGGCATTGGACATCACACATTCAGAGAATATCTTAACTAAGTTCTTTCCAGCTTACAAAGAATAGCTAATGTCTGTGCAGGGTAAAGAGCCCCAGAGCATGGAAAAGAGTGGACAGCTCTCTATTTTTACAAAGCTAACATAATCCCCATACAAAATCTGACAAAGTACACAAAACACATTCATAAACACATACATGCAGAGAGTGAAAATTACAAGCCCGTGTCATCTGTTATTTCATAAAATAGATGCAAAAACAAACCCAATGATATACTGTTAATAAAAAGCAAAAGTAATTAAAGTAATGATTTAGCATGTCTACAACATGTAAGCCTCAATTATTCTGACCAAGCAAGACACATCTTCTATCAATTTATGGTAGACTTTTAGTAGTTAGGCAAGAACCGAACTCCTCCAAGACCTCTAGAATGAACCCACCCACCCTCTTTCCTGTTATCTTCAGTTGACATTCAAGCTAGAATTCACCTGCTCCTCACACAGACACCAAGGACCTTGCCCTGTATCATTATTGTCATTAAAGCTCTGTACTTCTTTTTCCCTGTCTGAGCTCCTACCACTCTCCACTTACCAAAACCCTTCCCTGTAACCTTTCGTTTCTGTGCCGCCCCCCACCCCCCAGCAGCAAACCCCCCACTCTGTGTACAAAATGTGTTCTGAGTGTATCCCTCCTAATAGCTGGGGCTCTGTCCTGAGGACACGGCTTCTCCAATGCTTCTCAAATGGCAGGGATTTGTAAACAGGCTCAGGCAATGAGTTTGATGCATTCCATAGCCACCATGGTCATTTCCAAACCATTTTTTTGCTGCAGCTTCTTGTAAACAAAGAAGGCTCCTCCAGTTTTCAAGAGCAGCTTTTGTTTCTTTGTTGCTCTCCTTTACCAACATTTCTCTCATTGTTCAAACCTATTGACACCTGCCTCTCACCCTTTCTCCCCACTTTAAGCCCTTTCTTCCTCATAATATTAACCTGGACAACGCTTTTGACAACATGGCCCGCTATTTCCATGAACTCATCTTCAGTGAATTATTCATGAACAAATGAAGTTCATGAACTTCGCACTATAGCTGCTCCACCTCCAACACTCCTGATTCACACAGCTGACCACAATTTCTTCGTTTACCTGTTTGCAATTCCAACTCCAACCAGTCTTCTGCCTTAAAAAGCCCTTCCTTTACCTTCTTCCCTCCACTTTTTCTCAGTCTATTAGCAGTCTTCTTTCACTATTTTCCCTTGTACAGCTTGAATTCTACCATGTATTATTTCATACTGCTTAAGACTTTTAGTCATCTGAGGGGCACATGATAGATGGAATAACCAATCATTAAGCTCAAATGTGCTCCTACCAAAGCCTGTGCCTGGTATCCAAAGATATTTCTCTAGCACTATGGTCTTTACTTTCAATAAAACTTACAGAAAACCTAATTGCTCATCCACTAACAGATTATTAAAAAATATTTTTGATGATAGATTAATATGCAATTTTTATCAAACAACTCAGAAGGAGTTCAAAGAATTGAGAGATATTGCTATAAGAAACTTCTCCCACCTCATCTTTGATTTATGTGAAAATAAGAAAAAATGATGGTTCTTGCATTTCATTCATTCTACCAAGTAACAGTTATCCATATATATATATTTATCTAGTTGGAGGGAAAAAAAACAGCCTTTTAATTTCACACCTAACAAACTATCTTTCAACATATATAAGACATATTTTTAAATTTCCTTATGGTCCCTAGAAATTTTAAGCATTTAAATTTATGCACACAAATTTAATTGCACTGGTTGATCAATAAAACTAGATTGTATTAGCACAACTCTGTAAGGAAAGCAGGATATAATTAGTAATTCAAAAAGAGAAAGGTACTATATAGCGTTTTAGATCATTAAAGAGGAGCTAGCTCATGATTTGTAGAAAACAATTTAAGGTAGATATCAAGTCACTACATTTGCACTCCATCAGATACATTTTAAAAATAATGTCATAGTGTCCATCAACAGATGAATAGATAAAGAAGTGGTGCATATGTGCAAAGAAGTGTGACTCAGCCATTAAAAAAAGAATGAAATCTCACCATCTGCTATAACATAGATGGACCTAGAGGGTATTGTGCTGAGTGAAATAAGTCAGACAGAGAAAGACAAATGTCATATGATTTCACTTAAATGTGAAATCTGAAAAAAAACAAAATAAACAAACAAGCAGACCAGAAACAGACTCACAGATACGGAAAACATTTTGACAGTTGCCAGATGAAAGGCAGGTTGGGAGAATGAGTGAAAAAGGTGAAGGGATTAAGAAGTACAAATTGGTAGTTGCACAATAGTCACGGGGATATAAAGTACAACACAGAGAATATAGTCAATAATATTGTAATAACTAGGAATGCTGTCAGATGGGTACTAGATTTATCAGGTTGATCACTTTGTAAGTTATATATACTACATGCCTAATCACTGGTTTGTACACCTGAAACTAATATAATATTGTACATCTGTAATTGAATAATAAAAAATTGTTTTTTAAATGTAATGTCACAGAGCATGTATATACTTAAAATTTGCCATAAATTATGAACATTATACATATTCAAATTTGATAAAAATTATATATATCAGTTTTTTAAATACAAAAGCACATAAAGCTTTTCAAAATCTGTTTAAAGGCACATTAGCAAAAAACATGCAGAGCACTTCTCTAGTCAACACACATTCCAGCCTTCTACCCTGATGATTTTAAATCCACTCTCTTCTAATCTCTGCCCCCAGTTACCCCCAAAATATATACCATACATATACAATAGTGAAAAACTGAAAACAATTTCAAATCATTCACTAAGGGGCTGGTTAACTGTGACTAAGCACCGCAGGAGTTAAAGTGACAGTGAAGGCATATATGTACTGAATGGAAAATTATCCTCAATGCAATCTTAAGATGTTTTTAAAATGAAGATTGTTAGATAACATGTATGGTATGATCACATGTTGTATAAGAATATGGTATGTGTGTGTGTTGGGGTATTGGGCCTAAATGTTGACAGTGGTTAATATCTCTTTATAATAGATTTCGGGGTAATTTTTGCTTTCATCTTTATACT